TAGTGCACCTGTGATGGTGGCTAGTGCAGGTGTGATGGTGGCTAGTGTGGGTGGGGGGTGGCTAGTGAAGGCTTTGGCATGGCTAGTGCAGACATTGGYGTGGYTAGTGCAGATATTGGGGTGACTAGTGCAGGTGTTGGTGTGGTTACTGCAGCCATTGCTGTGGCTAGTGCAGATATTGGGGTGGCCACTGCAGGTGTAGTGGTGGCTAGTAGAGGCATTGAGTTGGCTAGTGCAGCCATTGCTGTGGCTAGTGCAGGTATCGGGGTGGCTAGTACCAGCATGGGGGTGGCTAGTGCAGGYGTTGGGGTGGCTAGTGAAAGCACTGGTGTGGCTAGTGCAGACACCGGGATGGCTCGTCCCGACAAGTGTGTTCAGTGCAGACACCGGTGTGGCTAGTGCCGGTGCTGATGTGGCCAGTGCCAACACCGCCCTGGCTCGGGCCAAGAGCCGTGTGGCCAGTGCACACCCTGCTGGGGCTCGTGCAGACACTGGTGTGGCCAGCGCAGGGTTTAGTGGCAAGGAATCCGTGCCTCAGTTTCCCCTTGTAGTCCCCATGCCTCAATTTCTCCCTTTGCAGCCCCGTGCCTCAGTTTCCCCTTGTAACCCTGTGCCTCAGTTTCCCCTTTGCAGCCCCCATGCCTCAGTTTCTCCTTATATCCCCTGTGCCTCAGTTTCCCACTTGTATCCCCCGTGCCTCAGTTTCCCCTTATAGCCCCCATACCTCAATTTCCCCTTGCAGCCCCGTGCCTCAGTTTCCCCCTTGTGACCCCCGTGCCTCAGTTTCCCCCTTGCATCCCCATGCCTCAGTTTCCCCTTGTAGTCCCGTGTCTCAGTTTCCCCTTGCAATCCCGTGCCTCAGTTTCCCATTTGCAGCCCCGGGCCTCAGTTTCCCATTTGCAGCCCCGGGCCTCAGTTTCCCCCGTGTGGCCCCCGTGCCTCAGTTTCCCCCTTGCATTCCCGTGCCTCAGTTTCCCCTTCCAGCCCCCGTGCCTCATTCTCCCCCTTGCAGCCCCCGTGCCTCAGTTTCCC